CATTAGCCATATTCCGAATTAGTCTCTCCTGATGTCTCGCTTCTCTTCAAATCCCAAACTATTTTTCTCTTTTTTCCTAGGAAGTAGGATCATCGGAGGCTGTTGCTCCTGTTTCTCCTGCCGTGCGATTGTCAGGAAAGCCAGAGGCTAGTTCGGAGCTCTGACCAGAAGTGCCCTTCACCCATTTCCGCTGATCCCTCTGGTGCCGGTTTTGGGCTTACCTAGGCCGGACCCTGTTCTTCTAGTCCTAGGCTCGCTTAGTCGTGAACCCGGGGTTCGAGGATCTAGATGCTTGGCTTGGCTTGGCTTGCCTTGGCTTGGCTTGGCTTGGCTTGGCTTGGCTTGGCTTGGCTTGGCTTGGCTTGGCTTGGCTTGGCTTGGCTTGGCTTGGCTTGGCTTGGCTTGGCTTGGCTTGGCTTGGCTTGGCTTGGCTTGGCTTGGCTTGGCTTGGCTTGGCTTGGCTTGGCTTGGCTTGGCTTGGCTTGGCTTGGCTTGGCTTGGCTTGGCTTGGCTTGGCCTAACACTCTTCGAATCTCCTATACTTTCCAAATTCTGATCCTCGCACTTTTAATCTCCAATTTTCAGCCAAAAAATATCTCGGGTTCCTGAAGATCGGGTTCCAAAAAATCGAGTGTCTGAATCTCAAAATGTGAGTTATGAGCGAATTCATGTTCCAGGGATTTCGTGTTTTTTTACAGGATGATGTTCTTCAAATTCCTCTTGCCTTGCTTCAAATCAAATTTGCTACCGACACCTGGGGAAGCCGCTGCTCCTGCCGCCGCTCCAGCTGCTCCGAATGATCAGGAGCCGGTGGTCCGTGAGCCCGTTGAAGAACACAATGGTGGCAATGTGGACACTCAAGTAAGTCGTCTATTTTTGGTGGCTAGCTCGTCTAGTAAGTCTCTAGAATTTCCAAAAACTATTTTCACGGGTTTTTATAGGTTCTATCTAATAGTAAGCTTTCACAGTAGTAGTTTCCATGTCTGCCAAGATCCTTAGCATTATTCAAGATTTTTTTGTTTATATCCGTTATGATCCTTCTCAGTGTGTGACTTCCGATTTTCACTTTCACAGTTCTAAAATGTCGCAGTTCTGAAACGTCGCAGTTCTAAAATGTCGCAGTTCTGAAACGTCGCGGTTCTAAAATGTCGCGGTTCTAAAATGTCGCGGTTCTGAAACGTAGCGGTTCTAAAATGTCGCAGTTCTGAAACGTAGCGGTTCTAAAATGTCGCAGTTCTGAAACGTCGCGGTTCTAAAATGTCGCAGATTTAAAATGTCGTAGTTCTAAAATGTCGCAGTTCTGAAACGTAGCGGTTCTAAAATGTCGCAGTTCTGAAACGTAGCGGTTCTAAAATGTCGCAGTTCTGAAACGTCGCGGTTCTAAAATGTCGCGGTTCTGAAATTTGCAGTTTTAAAAAGTCACAGTTCTGAAACGCCGCGGTTCTAAAATGTCGCAGTTCTGAAACGTCGCGGTTCTAAAATGTCGCAGATTTAAAATGTCGTAGTTCTAAAATGTCGCAGTTCTGAAACGTAGCGGTTCTAAAATGTCGCAGTTCTGAAACGTAGCGGTTCTAAAATGTCGCAGTTCTGAAACGTCGCGGTTCTAAAATGTCGCGGTTCTAAAATGTCGCAGTTCTGAAACGTAGCAGTTCTAAAAAATCGCAGTTCTGAAACGTCGCGGTTCTAAAATGTCGCGGTTCTGAAATTTGCAGTTTTAAAAAGTCACAGTTCTGAAACGCCGCGGTTCTAAAATGTCGCAGTTCTGAAACGTCGCGGTTCTAAAATGTCGCAGATTTAAAATGTCGTAGTTCTAAAATGTCGCAGTTCTGAAACGTAGCGGTTCTAAAATGTCGCAGTTCTGAAACATCGCGGTTCTAAAATGTCGCAGTTCTGAAACGTAGCAGTTCTAAAAAATCGCAGTTCTGAAACGTCGCGGTTCTAAAATGTCGCGGTTCTGAAATTTGCAGTTTTAAAAAGTCACAGTTCTGAAACGCCGCGGTTCTAAAATGTCGCAGTTCTGAAACGTCGCGGTTCTAAAATGTCGCAGATTTAAAATGTCGTAGTTCTAAAATGTCGCAGTTCTGAAACGTAGCGGTTCTAAAATGTCGCAGTTCTGAAACGTAGCGGTTCTAAAATGTCGCAGTTCTGAAACGTAGCGGTTCTAAAACGTCGCAGTTCTGAAATGTCGCGGTTCTGAAATGTCGCAGTTCTAAAAAGTCGCGGTTCTGAAACGTCGCGGTTCTAAAACGTCGCAGTTCTGAAACGTCGCGGTTCTAAAATGTCGCAGATTTAAAATGTCGTAGTTCTAAAATGTCGCAGTTCTGAAACGTAGCGGTTCTAAAATGTCGCAGTTCTGAAACGTAGCGGTTCTAAAATGTCGCAGTTCTGAAACGTAGCGGTTCTAAAACGTCGCAGTTCTGAAACGTCGCGGTTCTGAAATGTCGCAGTTCTAAAAAGTCGCGGTTCTGAAACGTCGCGGTTCTAAAATGTCGCAGTTCTGAAACGTCGCGGTTCTAAAATGTCGCAGATTTAAAATGTCGTAGTTCTAAAATGTCGCAGTTCTGAAACGTAGCGGTTCTAAAATGTCGCAGTTCTGAAACGTAGCGGTTCTAAAACGTCGCAGTTCTGAAACGTCGCGGTTCTAAAATGTCGCATATTTAAAATGTCGCGGTTTTGAAACGTCGCGGTTCTAAAATGTCGCAGATTTAAAATGTCGGGGTTCTAAAAAGTCGCGGTTTTGAAACGTCGCGGTTACAAATTTTGAAAAAAAAGTACCGGTAAATTTACCGAAACCGTACCGATAGCCCACACTGATCCTTGGTGACATTCTTCTGACCAAAAATGACTAGGATCCTAATCCTGAGTCTCTCCTCCTCGTCCAGCTCCTCCTCTCTTCCAGATCAACCAGACGAGCGCGGGAATTAAAAAATTCGAAATGCCAAAACCTTCGAAACGCAGCGAGCCAACCAAAATTGAATGATTCGCAGAAGTGTTACCATATTGCCAAAATACCAAAATCCCCGATATTTTTGTAGTTCATTTTTCCCTAAATTTCAGATATTTCTTTCCCAAAATGTCGCTCTCTAATTACCTAATTGCTCTAATTACTCCGTTCGAAATCTTATTTAACATCTACATATGTATTTAATCAGCATTTTTTGAACCGCATTTTTTTGGAACATGAATAAACTCGATTTTGGCTTTTTCAACATTTATCCTGAATTTTCTGAATCATCTGTATTTTTTTGAATTGACAGTAATCTTCAAAAATGTGAAAATAGAGTTATTTTGAAATTCGAAAAATCCCAAATTTTGAAATTTTGAAATATTCAAACAACTCCGAAAATTCAAAATTTCTCAAATCGTAAAACCTCGAAAATTCTTTAAAACTTAAAAAGTCTAAAAATTCAAAATTTCGAAATTTCAAATATTCCCAAAAACACCAAAAACACCAAGTTCAGATAAATCGAGATTTTCAATTTTCCAATTCCTTCAAGTCTGTCCAAGAATCAACTCTCTAGATTCTCTAGAACCCGAGATATAGCGATCTGAAGTTTTGAAAGCGAGAGACGCAGACAACGAGACACACTGCATCTCTCGCGCGCGGCAAGAGAGACGCAGACAGCTAGAGCGTCGAAACTTCAAATGGCTATATCTCGGTTCTTAGATGAGCTAGAAAGTCGGTTTTTTGTTTAGAAATTGGGAATAATGATCAAATAAATCAAAAAAGACTGAATTTCCTGAAAACTTTCAAATTTCGATTTTCTAATTTTTAACAATTTTATTTAATCCTGTTTACTTTTGTTCCAGAAATTTTAGTTTTTCCTTTTTTCAGTTTATCACCATTTTTCGCCAGGCGTTTTTTCTTAGCTGTGAAAGTACTTCTTGGATCCAAATTATAGATATTTCGAAAATTATCGAAATCAAGAAACGGATGTTTTCATTGTAATCGGAAAATAGGCAATGTTCCCTTCAATTCTGTCCAAGAACCAGCTTCCTAGCTCATCTAGAAGCCGAGATATAGGCATTTAAAGTTTCAGGAAGCTAGAGACGCCAGACGACGAGACACACTGCGTCTCTAGTCTCAAAAACTTCAAATGGCTGTATCTCGGCGTCTAGAAGAGCTAGAAAGCTGAAAATTGAATAGAATCATGTGAAATTTTGAGGAGAATATGTTAGAGTTCCAATAACGCATTTGTGAATTTTTAGATGGCCTAGAAAACGCAATTTTGGAGAAAGTTAGGTCATCGCATTGAATTTGATCACCGCATAGCTGTACCCGCAATTTTTTTCATTTTATAGCGTCTTTAAGAGTCTAGCTGCATCTTTTCCGACGCTTTTTAGATTCATTGAGCTACCTACAGTAATTCAAGCCTGACGAACAGGGAAAGGCGGGTTGGTCCCCGCGGTCCTGACCGCGGCTGACCGTTTTCAGCTTCAAAACATTCACCTTGACATTTCTGTCAAATTTTCAACTTTCTAGCTCATCTAGAAGCCAAGATATAGGCATTTGAAGTTTTGAAAGCGAGAGACGCAGACAACGAGACACACTGCATCTCTCGCGCGCGGCAAGAGAGACGCAGACAGCTAGAGCGTCGAAACGTAAAATGGCTATATCTCGGCTTCTAGAAAAGCTAGGAAGTTGGTTTTTTGACCAAAATGGAGCTCAGATGTCGAATTTCAAAATTCTTGGATTCAGTTTGAAAGATCATAAATCCTAAAAATTCCAAAAATCAAAAACTCCATAAAATTCAAAATTTGCTTTTATTTATCAATGGAGCGCATTTTCAGCATATAAAAGAAAGGCAGATTAGGAATTGAGATCTCAATTTTGTTTGAAAAACAAATGCAGATTTTGATATTTTTTGGGCGGCAAAAAAAAGGGGGAAATTTGAATTTTGGGAGACGAAAAATTCGATATTTACAGCTTAAAAAAGAGCGGGAACAAAGATGAATTGTACAGAAAAATGGCGAAAAATTCGAGAAAAAAAATCAAAAAATTATTCCAAATTCGGTGGATTTTCAGCAGGATTTTCAGCCAAATTCTCCACATTTTCAGCCAAATTTTCAGCATTTTCCGATGGTGGGAAGCAGAACAAAATCGAGCTATCGCCATTTCCGATTGCCAACGTTTTTGTGGATGGTCTGCAAGAATTTCGATTTTTTTTTGGGGGGATTTTCTGGACTGATTTTAGGTCATTTTAAGCCAAATTTCAGAATTTTTGGACCATTTTAAGCCAAGAAGAAACAAAACTCACAGATAGTCAAATTTGGCTGGTTCGGCAGCCAGCTCGTGAGACGCGCCCCATTGTCGACTACGGGTTCCTGGGCTGAAGATCTGAAATCGAAAAAACAATCGCTACAGTAACCCAGGAAAGCTACAGTAACCGAAAATCGCAAAAAAAAAGAGTATCTACAGTAACCCATAACAATCCTATTTTTTAGATTTTTGAATTTTCACTGAACTTCTGAAAATTACAGTAACCCAAAATTTACAGTAATCAAAACAAATTTTTTGAAAGTTTTGAAACTTTTTGATTTTTAAGAGTTTTCAAAAAAACTTGGATTTTTCGGAGCTACAGTAATCCAAAAATAAGCTCTACAGTAGTCCTAAAAGCTACAGTAATCCAGAAGCTCCAGTTTTTTACAGTAACCCAAGAACAAAATATGGAGCATCTACAGTAATCCAAAAAGCTACAGTAATCCAAGTAGCTAAAATAATCCTGAAAACTACAGTAATCCAGAATCTACAGTGACCCAAAATTTCGGGCGTTTTGGAGCTACAGTAATCCAAAAACCCTGGAAAATAGAGCATCTACAGTAACCCAAAAACAGTTACAGTAATATATATTTTTTCGAAATTTTGAAATTTTGGGTTTTCGAAGCTACAGTAACCCAAAAAAAAAGTTACAGTAATAGAAGTAGCTACAGTAATCCTGAAAACCACAGTAATCCAAAATCTACAGTAATCCCCTTACACTAAATTTATATCTCGTCCGCGCGCTTCGCGCCATCACCAAGTGCGCTCCATGGTCCAGTTGTACTTGGCGGGTGTAGGAGCCGACCTGAAAGAAATTTTTTAAAACTTGAAACAAGAAAAAAATTTTGGCGCCAAATTCAAAATTCAAAATTTTTTTTGAAAAAAAATTTTGGCGCCAAATTCAAAAATTCACATTTTTGAGCTCATTTTCAGCTGATTTTTTCCATTTTTTTCCAGATTTTCTCTCTGTCCCTTTAAATGATACCTACCGTATACGTCTGCAGTACGTTGAAATTTTTGGCATCATAAAGTTTGACTTTTCCATCTGAAGTCGATGTGAGCAGCTGATCACGTTGCAGGGAGAGGCACGATTTGTAGCACGATGGAGAGTATTCCTGCAAAGTGCGCTCCATTGATAATTTTGAAAAAATTGATTTTCAAGAGTCATAGGATTACTGTAAGGCTGCAGAAAGCAAGATTACAGTATCTACAGTAATACTGAAGCTAAGATATGTACAGTAATCCAATAAACCACAGTAATCTAAAAAAAAATTACAGTAATTCGATAAGGCTACAGTAACCCAAAAATTACAGTAACCCAAAATAACTACAACAATCCAAAAACTAATCTTTTGGATGAGCTCGATTACTGTAAGGTTGTCGGAAGCAGGGCTACAGTATCTACAGTAACCGAAAAAGCTACAGTAGACCGACCGTGGCCGACCACGGTGCTGTTCCCGCTATCTTTAAGATTACTGTAGGAAGGACAGTAGGTGGAGCTACACGGTTAGCAATGTTACCGCCTAACGTTCCCCAGGACCCACATACTCTCTTAGACCTTTTCGACCGTGTGGACCACGGCCCGGACCGCGGCCGACCATCATTTTTTGTTTTTTGTTCTAATCTCCTTGAAATTTCCCGCTTTTCTATCCAATTTTCAATTTTCTAGCATGTCTAGGAACCGAGATATGGCCATTTGTAACTTTCGAGGCTAGAGACGCAGCGTGTCTCGTCGTCTGTCGTCTCTAGCCTCCCGAAACTTCAAGTGCCTATATCTCGGGTTGTAGACGAGCTAGAGCAATAAGAATTTGACAGAAATGTGTAAAATTTCAAGGAGAACATTTTGAAACTGAAAACGGGCGACCGCGGTCAGGGTCGTAGTCCGGATTTTAGCCCAAAACGTCCGTTTTTCAAAGGGAATAAGCTTGGACATTTTTCAACAGCCGTGGATTACTGTGTGGGTATCCTCTTCTTCTTCTCAAACCAACTGACCGCCCGGACCAACCGCACTGTGGCCGACCACGCGGCCCTGTTCCCCTGGCAACCTTGTATTACTGTAGTTATTCCAACAAGTGGGGCTACATGGTTAGCAATGTGACTCCCTAGCTTCCTACAGTACTCGCAGACCCTCTCAGACCGTTTCGACCGCGCGGACCACAGCCCGGACCGCGGTCATTTTTGTTCCAAAATAATCCTCTTGAAATTTCCCGCTTTTCTGTCCAATTTTCGAATTTCTAGCTCATCTAGGAGCCGAGATATGGTCATTTGTAACTTTCGAGGCTAGAGACGCAGTGTGTCTCGTCGTCTGGCGTCTCTAGCCTCCCGAAACTTCAGATGATCTATCTCGGCTTCTAGATAAGCTAGAATCCTGGTTTTTGAACTGAGTCGTCTGAAATTTCAAGTGGAATGTTTTGGAACTTAACAAAGTGATGGCCTAACATTCTATATTTTCCAACCGACCGACAGACCGAACGACCAAACGGACGCCCGCCCGGCCGCGGTCGACCGCGGTTATGTCCCCGCCGACCTTGTATTACTGTAAGTAGGTCGATGAATGAAGCCACACGGTTAGCCAGTACCCACTGACCATTTCGACCGCGTGGACCACAGCTCGGACCGCGGTCGACCGCAGAAATTATTTTCCAAAATATTCACCTTGCAATTTCCAGCATTTCTGTTTAATTTTCAACTTCCTAGCTTATCTAGAAGCCGAGATACAGCCGTTTGAAGTTTCTTGAAGGAGGATAGAGACGCAGCGTGTCTCGTCGTCTGGCGTCTCTAGCCTCCTGAAACTTCAAATGCCTATATCTCGGGTTCTAGACGAGCTAGAAACTTAGTTTTTGGACCAAAACTATTCTCAGAAAACCGGTGGCCTAACTTTCCGAATTCTCTAGGCCACACTTACAAAAAGCAGCGCTCGTCCCATTTGTCGTCTATCCACCATCATCATAATACGATCCTCGGAACTCGTGTAAATCCGATTTCCATCTACAGCCAACGCAATGACCGCCCGTTTGTGTAGTTTGTGCTCGGCGACAATTTCAGATGAGCGATCGTCGATGACAGCTACACGCTTGGCGAACGTGGTGCAGACCAATTCGTTGGGCGAGCCGGTGGCTGGAAATTGAAATATGGGTTGCGAAGTGACTGGTTTTAGAACGTCACGGTTGCCAAATGGCTTTATTCTGAACTGGTGTCGTTTTGTAGCCTGAGAGAAACTCTAGGTCATTTTAGCGTGGTGGCCTAACTTTTGCAAGTTGAGTTTTGTAGGCCACCTCTTCAGAATGACCTAGGAATCACATCAGGGGCATGTTAGACC